CCGTAAGGATTAGATGCTGTGTTAGCTCCCTGCGGCTGCTGTAACAAACGCCCACAAACTCGGTGGCTTAAAGCAACAGAAATTTATTCTCTCGGAGGTCTGAAGCCTGGAAGTCTGAGATCAAGCTGTTAGCAAGACTGATTCCTTCTGGAGAGCTCTGAGGGAGACTTTGTTCCATGTCTCTCTGTCCTAGTTTTTGGCAGTTGCTAGTAATCCTTGGTTTGTAGATGCATCATTCTAATCTCTGCCTCTGTGCTCACATGCCTTCTACCCTATGTGTCTCTGTGTTTCTGGGTCCAAATTTCCTCTTCTTACAAGGACACCAATTATTGGATTAGGCCCCACCCTAAACGAGTATAACCTCATCTTAAATTGGTCACATCTGCAAAGACCCTGCCTCCTAATAAAATGACATTCATGGGTAGCAGGGCTTAGGACTTCAGCATATCTTTTGAGGAGACATACAATGTCTCCTATAATGTGAGTAGATTGCGGCATATGGAGCCAGATGGATGAGAGGGAGGAGAGCGTATATGTTAAGGAAATATACTTAATGGCTATAGATCACTGTTTAAAAACTTCAGCTCTTACAGTGAGGAGGTTGTGTCAAGTTTAAGAGAAGATCTTTTCAGGATAGGACAGAGACGTGGTCAAAGCTAGAAGGGAATAAAAGCATTCATGCTGAGTCTGAATATTGTAGAGGGGGAAAAAAGGAAAAATGAGTAACGTTCTAGAGTGGAAGGGGAGATTTAGAAAAGAGAAAGAATGCTTATTCCTTTGAGCAAAAGGAAAGCAGAAAGGTTAGGTGTAGACACAGGGACTTTTTACACTAAAGTAGGCATTAAAGTGATGTGCTGAAAGTATGAGTGGGTATTACGAGACGTGTAGTCCGAGAGAAAGCTTGCAACATTGACTGTGGTAAATTAATTGGGTGACCTGTGAAAGATTCCTCAAGCAGGATTGAGCATACTTAGCCAGTGTCTTAGGAATTTTAAACAGAAACACTTCTTTCAACTCCAGACTTGGTCTTTTGAAGCCAGGGAGAATCCAGAGAATAAGAAAATAAAGCTTTGGCTTTTAATTAATCATATCTACAGTGCCCAGTGTGAATGATTAGTCTCTCAAATTAAAATAAAAGGTGCATTTTTGGTATTTTTTTAAAGTAATTTTTTTTTTTTTCCAAAGGAGAGGAGATGTCAAATAGTCTGTTATCTATGTAGACCAGACAAATAGGTAAATTTTTTGTTTTTCAATTGAAATGCATGCACATTCAGTAGCTAAGTTGCCTGCATGGGTGAGTGTTTTCCAAGACAGGGTCAGCCAAGGTTCAGGATGGACTTGATGTTTCCTTTAATAAAAACATGCATTCAGAATGTACAGAATACCACCAGTGTTTTTTGGAAGGCAGTAAACACCTTGTTTAGTAGATTCTAGATGAACTCTTACATAAAGAGTCTGCTTAATAATGTTAAATTGTTGGAGAAACCCCAGAATGCTCTCCTAGTAAAGTCACATAAAATAAGTTGAACCAAGTTATTGAATGGTTATAAGACATCATGGGGTTTAATTATTTATACCCACAAAGACCATATGGGTACACTGTAATCATATGACTTGTTTTTATTCTGAGCTTCTCAAGAACAGTATCAATTTATGCTGCCAAGACTTCTGCTTTCAGGCCCCCCTCCTCTCATTGACACCTGCTCCTCAGCATAGGCAGGCAAAAGGGAAAAGGGTGAACTGTGATCTGTTCCTAGTGTTGTTTTTCCATGGAATAAGGAAAAGATTTTTTGTGGAAAAAGGTTAAATTAAAGGCTTTAACAAGGTTCAGACATTCCTTTCCCCATGCCTACATCTCCTATGTTAACATGAAGAATTACAGTTTGGGGGTATGCAAGAAATATGGAAAGAGGAATCCACCTTTATGCCGTAGATGCATCCTGAAATTCTGTTTGAACATCACATGTTTGTCAAACAGATCAGTTTTTAATTTCTTAGGGAATTAAGTGTTTAAATTTCAAATGCTTTTTTCCTTTGCTAGAGTACTGAATATCCGCTGATTTATTTCTTTTTGTGATTTTAATACTTATATTTTTCTGTCTCAGCTCTGTTTACTGCTGGCAGATGCATAGGCATGTTGGGTATTATTCTTAATTGCCAAACATTCCAAAGTAGATAATGTTGGAGTCAGTTTCTTCTGATGAGACCTATCAACTTTTTTCACCGAGCAGGAACAGCTAAGAAAAGGCCCTAAGGTAGCAATGTATCGGGCACGTTCTAGAAATATCAAGGCTGTAAGTGTGTCTAGAGTTGAATGAAGGAGGAGAATATTAGCTAATGAGACAATAGTCCTGTCATGTAGACAGCCTGCCCCTACTTTAATAGAATGTACGCAAGACACACCCAGTGCTTCCAAACTGATCGTTTGGATTTGGCCTTATTGCTCGATGGTCCTAGCCCACGTTGTCTTCACAGAGTCATCCTCCAAAAATCACTGGCATCATCTGAGTTTAGAACACTCAGCCAAGTTCAACTATGCTCACTCATATTAACTCATTCATAGATCATTATTTCGATACTGTTTCTGGTCAACCCATTCTTTTACATTCCATTTATGTTGGCCACAATCAATAGCAGATGGTTGTATACTGCATAGTATCTATTCAGGAGACGCGTGTTCCATGAATGGATATATGAATGAGTTACTGAATGAATGAATAAATGAATGGATGGATAGGGACAGATTAAATTTTATAACACAGATAAATACTCTCACCTGTAAATAAACTTGCATTCTGCATGTAGACCTATAAGGTACACATTTACTTATCATATTGAATTAAATATCCAGGATATGGTTGAGTGTTGATTACATGTTGATTGTTTTTAAACATGTCCATGTTCCATCAAAGTAAGAGAAATAAGAGACAATTTTTAGTTCTTTACCATCAGAGACATTTTCTGACTCTTATAAATACACCTGGCTTCTCCTTGAAGAGAGTCACCAGTTAAAAAGAAGTACTTAAACCTAATCTCAGAAAAGAAGTTGTTTCCTTTTTAGCTGCTGTATTTATGTCTACAGTATCCATAGTGATTTCATTGTCTTGGTACAGTCTTAAACTTCAAATGTCAACTACATAGTTATTCTCTTTGTTGGACTTAAGCTTGTTTACAGGGGTAATTTGTTTCCTTAGCTCTTCTGTAACTCAGACCATCTGTGGCATTTACTGTTGGCATAGTGAGTGTAAGTCAGTCCTCGGATTTATTTTAACCTTTTCTTTCCACAGTTTGGAATGACTTCTGTACTATTACAAATGCAATGGATTGATCCTAGCATGTACTATGAAAGTTTTGCAAATATATTTTTTATACTCCTCTATAATTGTATAGAAATATGAAGTAAAGTTTTGGAAAACATGAGCTGATGTATATTTTAAATTTCACAGGAAAAGCCAATTGGGGACATTTTATTTACTCTTGTTCATCTTTTGCTTGATAAAAAAATTCTTTAAATCTGAGACAAACAAATACATTTGTAGATCTATGGGATGTCAAAGCATCAATAAAGAATAGTTATCCACATTAGTAGGCAATTAGATAACAATTATTTTAATTGCCCTATCGATTTAAATCCATTTGCCATTTACTTTAACAACTATTATAGTTGATTTAACAAAAAGATCACTTTATTTCAAATATAGTTCCAGAGGTGTTACTTTATAATTTACTATGCCATTATTTTTCCATTAGCTAATCATTTATGCCATCTTAAGAGCACATAGCCCTACTCAATATTTATTCAATAAAAGCAGAGTGAAATGAATATTTTTTAGTGTTTTTCATTGCTGCTAAAGTGCCCAAAATTTTTATGATTGTTTTATATGAAACAGATGTATGTAAACTAGGTGACTAGGTTTGTGATTTTTTAAAAGATTTCTTAAGCCAAGCAAGTTACAGAAATTCTCTACGTCTTTAGTAACAAAAGCCTTTGATTTATATCTATCTTTCTGAGTAATTTGCATGTTAATTATTATTGTAATTTTAAAACAGTGAAAATATATAAGTATTATATTTAACGTGTGTTCAATCATATTTCTGAAAGGATCTTTTTAATTTTTATACCTTTAAAGAGTCTATCAGTCATTCTTTTAAAATGGCCGTATAATGATTTTTTTAATAACTCTATTCTTGTTATCATTCCATAGTTTAATGTAAGTGATAGTTGTGTAAACCATAGTATAGTAAAATTCATCTCTCAAAATAGAAAATTGCCGTGTTTAAAATGATTTGATATTCTGTGGTTTACTAGAAAATAATAAAGTCAAAGTATGTAGTCTATTTCTTTAGTCTTTAGACTGTGTACAGGGGTGATTCATTGTGTGTGTGTCACTAACCTCATTATCAGTTCATAACGGGAAATGTGAAAATATGACAAGGTACCCAGAGAAGAAAACACAAAGGGCAAATATCTAGCTTATTTTTCATATCTTCTTTATGAAAGTGTTAGTTGTAATTTCATCCTGAAATGTCAAGAGTATATAGGCCTCTACCCAAATGTTTGGCAATACCTCTCTTCTCTATGCTTGAGTAACGACAACAATGAAGATAAGCCCATAAACTCAACATGAGCAGGACTGAACTTGTGTTGTGCCTGACTCACCTAGAAGCCTTCCACACCCTTTTTGCTGTTCTCTCTTCTGGCCAGTCACCCATTATGAGCTGATTACCTAGGGAACAACAGTTAGGTGTACATTCTTGAAATAGAACAAAACTAATGGCCATATGGGATTGACTTCGAGAGCTGTGCCTCATTAGCATTAATCAACAACCTTTCAAGTATTTGGGGAAGAACAAAATCAATTGAAGTAAAATCCTTACTGTTATTTATTACTGTTATAATAAACTGAGGGTTAATTTTTTTCAGACTTTTGAAATGTGGCTAATTGCATTTTCTTTAAAAAAAAAACCGTGTCTTTTCTTTTCCTGTGCCTTTCCCATAGGTTTAGGCTTCAGTATTGCAGGAGGTGTGGGGAACCAGCACATTCCTGGAGACAACAGCATTTATGTAACTAAAATTATAGATGGAGGAGCTGCACAGAAAGATGGAAGGTTGCAAGTAGGAGACAGACTACTAATGGTGAGTGTGACTCAAGCAAAACTATGTGTATATTTATAAAGCTCTTTTTTCCCAGTGTATGATTCTCTTAGGCGGTTCAAGCTGCCATAACAAAATACCGTAGACTAGGTGGCTTAAACAACAGATTATTTTCTCACAGTTCTGGAAGCTGGGAAATTCAAGATCGAGGTTCCGGCCCGTTTAGTTTCTGGTGCGGTCTCTTTTCCTGGCTTGCAGACAACTGTCTTCTTGCTGCATCCTCATGGCTTTTCCTCTGTGCTTGTACTGAGTGACAGAGAGATCTTTCTCTTCTTATAAGGCCACCAATCCTACCAGATTAGGGGTCCACCCTTAACTCATTGAATTAATAACCATAATTACCTCCTAAATACCCTATCTCCAAATACAGTCATATTGCGGGATAGAACTTCAACACGTGAATTTGGGAGAAGAGGGTACAATTCAATTCATAGCAGTGACCATGGGCAGAAATAAAAAAGAAAGGAGAGTGGGGCCAGTCTGGTGGCCCAGCAGTTAAGTACGCATGTTCCGCTTCAGCGGCCCGGGGTTCATTGGTTCGGATCCTGGGTGCCGACATGGCACCGCTTGGCAAAGCCATGCTGAGGTAGGAGTCCCACATATAAGGTAGAGGAGGATGAGCATGAATGTTAGCTGAGGGCCAGTTTTCCTCAGCAAAAAGAGGAGGATTGGCAGCAGTTAGCTCGGGGCTAATCTTCCTCAAAAAAACAAAAAAAAGAAAGAAAGGAGAGCAGATTTTGTGGTAAGAGATCTCAAAAGCGGGTTTAAAAACGGAAATCTAAATTTTCACCAGTTTTTATAGATATACACAGGCACTGAGATTATATGTTGTTCTACCAGTGTAATCCATCTCCTATTAGCCAGAGAGACTGCTAACTCCAGACTGCTAGACAGGTGGGCTTTGCATAACAAAGGGAACAGCACTATCTGGTTTGATATCTACATTTCTGTGTCTCTCTGTGTTCCTTTGTTTAATCAGTGTAGACACAGTCCTTGACTTCCAAGAATTTATAATCCAAGTTCTATCACATGTGTAAATGAATCCCTTCCTCCTCTCCCATCTGACAGGATTACAGCTATTTTATGTGCCAGCTGCCCACATGCTTCTGGAGCCCTGGTCAATGATTGACACCAACACATGGCCACCTTTTCTGAGCCATGGAGTTATATGATAAACTAAAGAAAAATTAATGCCATTATAAGCAGTAAAACATTTGGGATTGCACTTAATAAAACTGCTTCATCTCCATGTACTGTTTCCTACCAAATCTATAGGATAATAATCAAATATTGAAAAATAATAAAAGATAGCTCTCAAGTCAGTAAGTGTATCTAGTCCTATCTGGTCATATATCTGCCCTTGGATGACAGGGCCTCTAATTTACGTCTGCAAGGAGCCATTTTCTCCAACACTTTCCTGAGAAGTGTTTGGGAAGGTTTAACCTATAAATTTCAACAGAATAGCAATTTCTAGGACATGTACAAGTTTTAGATGTTAAACCTCAAAGTTCATTGTACTCACTTCCCTGGACTCTAGACAGCTCATCTTTAATCCCACCGGTCTAATTTCGTAGTTGTCAATGAGCTTTGTATTGAATTATCTGGATAAGATCTTTATAACAGTCTTGATAACTAACATTTATGTGGCATTTACCATGCTCCATGTACTTTTAAAAGTGCTCTTCTGTTATGTAACATATATTTCTCTCAACAGCCTGTTTAATGTAAACAAAAGCAAGCTGAGGTAGAGAGAAGTTTACTAACTTGGCCATGGTCATGTAGTTAACAATGGACAGAACTGGATTTCAAATCCAGGCAGTCTGGCTTGCATCCATGCTTATAACCACCAAACATGGTCTTTGCATTTGTTTCCTGGAATTTGTCAGTCAATTCTTTCCTTTCTTTCTTTGGTTGTCATTCAGTCATTCATTAATTCCTTTAATTTAACAAGTAATATGTTGAGCACCTGCCACGTCCCAGGCAATAGCCACTACTCAGGAGGGAACTCTTTAGGAGAAAACATGTGTTCAAACTGGATGGGCAAAAAATATGACATTAAAGACCTTAGTCAAAATTGCCACTAAGAGTTTTTGGCCTCTTTACTCCCTGAAGTCACTACCATTTTTTTAAAACACTGTATTGAAGTATGGTTGATGTATAAAAAGCTGTACCTGTTTAATGTATACAACTCCATGAGTTTGAGGATAGGTATACACCCATGAAACCATCAAAGCCATAAATATATCCATCACTTCCTAAAGTTTCCTTCCACCCACATCATCATCATTATCATCATCATCATAATCATTATTTTTATTATTTTTTGTGTGTGTGTGTGGTGAGAATGCTAAACATGAGGTCTACCCTTTTAGCTAATTTTAGATATACAATATAGCATTGTTAGCTATAAGCACTATGCTATATAGAGGAACTATTATTTTCGTTCTTGAGAAATTCTGAATTCTTTTTGTTTACTTGTTTTTTTTTCTTTGATGTAAACGCTGGTTCTTATGATGCTGTGTGTTCCGAACCAGAAAAGTGTTATCGGAGTATAAAACCTAACAACTCTCAAGAATATAAACTTTATTGTTTGTTGACTTAGGAATAAAATAAACGGTGACATCCATCTTCTACATAGTGCTAAATTGAAAAATGAAGAGGAAAGTTTCCTGCTAAAGTAATGGTTATCATAGATAGTGACTGATTTCACCTTTGATTAATTATTCTATAAGAGTTTGGTTGTAAGACAACAACTCTTCTGGTATTTCTCCAACTATTGTAATATTGTGCTATTGTAATATTGTGCTAAGTGTTGTGTGCTGATTTCTTGAAGTTCTTTCTAGCTTCATTTTCAAATGCTTAAAAAAGAAACCCAAAAACTCAAAGTCCAAATAATTCTGTCAAAGGATTTTCTAAGCACCATGCTATTTTTCCATTACCATTTTCTTGATATTCGTTGTAGATGTAATGATTTTAAAAATAGCTGTGACATAATCCTTAACTGTTTTGAGTTTTAAAGTATAGTTTAAAAAAAATGAACCTTCAACAATAATAGGTCTCTCTTCTCTTATGTAAGGAAAACATAATTAGTACTTCCGGGACAACTGCCAAGCTGAATCTTGAAATAAAAGAAAATGATTCATTTTATAATATTCTGAAAGAAAAATGATCCTGAAGGAGAGAATAAAGAAAAAAAATCACAGTAGCCACCCCGAAAGACCAATTATCTTGCTTCAACCCTAAAATATTTATTAATGCTCTCCTTATGTCATTTCTTTTCACCTCCTCTTCCGTTTACTACCCTCCATTCATATCTTCTTTATCTGCCTGCTCTTCTACTCTCCTCCCCCAAAGGAAGTACGAATAATTTAGATTGTGTGATTTACCAGCTGGACCACACTCTTTATTTTCTCTAAATAGCTATTCTTCTTTCTGAAGCAATTTGCACCACTCTGTACTCTCACTTCTTAGGAAAAATTCCCCCATATATTATTCATCCATGGTTCTGTAAGTAAACAGGTCTAAAATCAAACTCCATTAATTTCTTTAGACTTTTGTGGCTGGATCATCACAATTCAGGAAGGCTTCCAGCATCTGCCCTACAGTAAGAGCATAGTCCTTTTTGTTTTCCGGAATCTTAGTAATAACCCTCACAGTCTCTCAACTTAAATAGCTATAATGTTGGACACCATCTTAACCATACCACATATATTGGGTACTTTTTCCCCCTAAGTACTTCTTATATCTCAGAATTGAAAAGTATCTATCTTAGATGTGATCTTATTCCACCTCTCATTTGGTTCATTAGAATCCCACAGAAAGCAACCATGTGAAGTAGTCCTTTACCTCTGCTAGAAAACTCTAAGTATGGAGAACCTAATGCCTCCTCAAAGCTCTTCATTAGATACTAACTGTTATTAGAAATTTTTTCCTTAAAATTATGTCAAAGTAGGGACTGGCCCAATGGCACAATGGTTAAGTTCATACGCTCTGCTTCGGTGGCATGGGGTTTGCTGGTTTGGATCGTAGGCGCAGACCTATACACGGCTTATCAAGCATGCTGTGGCAGGCATCCCACATATAAAGTAGAGGAAGATGGACACAGATGTTAGCTCAGGGCCAGTCTTCCTCAGTAAAGAGAGGAGGATTGGCAACGGATTTTAGCTCAGGGCCAATCTTCCTCAAAAAAAAAAAAATTGTATCAAAATACATTTCCCTATACAAGCCTCTCTTTATTCATAGCTCTGTCCCTTGGAAACAGAAGGGTGAACACTAATCTGTCTTCCACATTTGTTTGAAAAGTCATGTCTTGCCACTTTTGTACTTCTCCGTTTTTTAAGGTGTTTCATACATTTTCCCTCACTCTTGCAGTAAATTTTACCACACATCTGTTTATCTTCTGTAAATAGATTACCCTTTAACAGAACTTCTTTTGATTGCTTAGAATGTTATGTCCCCACTTTAAAAAACCCAGGCGATGTTGTAGTATCTGACCTTTCCATTTATCCTACTATAAGGAAAAATTATCCTGCCCCGTCACCTTTGCAATAAGCCTCATAAGATGATTTTAATGTCAGACCTCTCTGATGTTTTATGGGTCACCCAGATGCGTGGTATATGTTCTCTTTGTCAAAATAATAATTTTTTAAATTTCCCCTGCTGCTTGACACTATCACCATTCTCTAGAATTCTTTTGTTTTTCATTTTGTCAAATGACAATGACATCTGATTTTTGCGGATTGTACCAGTAGCTTAGTGTTGGAGTCTTAGACTGAATAGATTACCTCTTGGCCTTGAACATTGTGGGACAGATGGTCAGAGGTTAACAGTTTGGGTAATTTTCAAATCCTTTCATATATTTTTACACATTGTTTTTTATTAAGCCCTACCTAGGTGATACATAGAGGCATATATCTTGCACAAATGTGATCTTCTTCATCTTTTTCTACACAAGACCGGAAACTTTGAACTAGGGTCATCTG